AATCAGTGTCTGCCAGGGAACTTAACAGCTTCAACATGGTCTGGTTGAACCTCTCACAGGCTCCGTTCCCCTGCGGGTGATATGCGGTCGTGCAGCTCTCTTGGCATCCATATACCTGGCACAGCTCCTGCATCAGTGAAGACTCAAAGGGGGAGCGTGTCTATGTTCCCACAGCCCTATGTTAAGAAATATGGGATCATAGGGTTTCCTTTTGAGAAAAATCTTAGGCCTTGTCCACATTAACCCGGGTAAATATTAAAGTTTTCATTCACAATGAAAACGATCTCCATCCACACTAATCGTTTTCAGAACGCTTTGCATCCACGTTCCACGGCGTCGTCACATTTATCCACCTCAGCGATCGTTTTTGTAAAGCATCGTTTTCAGTTTCGGAATTCACCGTTCTAATGTGGACAGAAGGGCTAACCGGATAAATATTACCCGGGTTAGTGTGGACATAGGCTTATGGGAACATATAAGACTTTGGGAAAATAGGGCTGTGGGAACATAGGGCTGACCCCCTCAATGGCAGCCCCTCTGTCTGTCAGAATGCATTCGGGCCAGCCAAATGTCTTGATAAGACTGTTGTACAGGGCTCGGGCTGTGGCGTTAGCAGACTGGTCCTTGGTGGGTACTGCAGGAGCATATTTTGAGAACAAATCAGTCATTATTAGGGGTACTGGTCACCTGGATGCCCCAGAAAGAGATAATCTACCCCAAAAACTTCAAATGGATATGAAGTAGAAATGGGTAGTAAATGGTCTCTCGCCTAAGGTCCAGCCTTAGCACACACACACTGTAGGCAGGTCTCAGTCCACTCCTTTACATCCTCAGTCACTCGGCCAGTAGCAGCGCTGCCGCAGAACTACCAGAGTCCTTTCAGTGCTGGGGTGTCCCATTCCATTGTGGTACCGTCTCCACACACCATTGGCTTCCTGCTTGGGAACAATCACTTGAAAAGCTTCAAGGTCAGAACCAGTCTGCAACCAATCTTCCCTGTACACCATTTTGTAGTAGGATTTTGTCCCACTCCCTTAGCAGTTGTTTCATATATGGGTATTACGAGTCACATACAGTACATCTGGCCGTGGCAATTGCTGCTCCTTCCTTTGTCGTATCTGGACAAGATCTGGGTTCCTGGCCTTGGGTTCCTCCCATGTTTCGTCACCTCTGACCACGACCTGGTCCACATGCACTGTTTCTCTCCTTTGCTCCTGCAAGCTGGACAGAGCAGCGGTATTTGATGGTGTACTTGTAGTTTGCTAGCTGGGCCACCCATTGCTGTTCCACTGCTCCCAGCCGGGCTTTTTCAAGGCACACCAAGGGGTTGCTATCTGTGAAGACAGTAAACTCTGCACCGTAAAGATAGTCTTTAAACTTCTCTGTAACTGCCCATTTCAGGGCCAACAGCTCTAGTTTAAAGGAGCTGTAGTTCTAGTCATTGTGTTCTGTTGGGTGAAGGCTGCAGCTAGCGTAGGCAATTGCCCTCTCTTTGTCTCCTTGCACTTGCGACAGTACTGCTCCCAGGCCGTCAAAACTGGCATTGGTGTACATCCTTAAGGGGAGGGAGAAGTCAGCATATGCCAGGATAGGTGGATATACCAAGGCTTCCTTTAACTGGTCAAAAGCCTGCTGACATTTTATCGTGGGTGGTACCGTGTGTCAAGGCATGCAGTGGTGTTGCAATTTTGGAGAAGGCAGGTATGAAACAGCGATAATAACCAGCAAAGCCAAGAAAAGATTTTACCTGCTTCACTGTTTGGGGTACATGCCAGTCCTTCACTGCTGCCGTCTTTGCTGGATCTGTAGCCTCACTTCTCTCACTGATGAGATGTCCCAGGTAAGTTACCTCTCGCTGGAACAGATGACACTTTTTGGGCTGTAGCTTCAGTCCATGCTGATGGAGTCGACTAAACACCTTTCCAGGTGGCACACATGACTGCTGAAATGAGGGAGAAACATAACCACATCATCCAAATAAAGCAACAGGAATTCATTTACCATGTTTCCCAAGCAGTGCTGCATCAGCCTTTGAAACGTGGCGGGGGCTTGCACAGGCCAAATGGCATCCATTCAAATTCGTACAGGCCGAAGGGTGTTGGGAAGGCAGTCTTCTACCTGTCAGGAGTCTATTTCCCCCTGCCAGTAGCCACTTGCAAGGTCCAAGGTGGAGTACCATTATGCAACTTTGAGCCCAATTAGTGACTCTTCAATGCGGGGTAGGGGGTAGGCATCTTTTTCTTTACAAGCACAATAGGAGCTGCCCAGGGACCTGGGGGCTCTGAACCAGTAGGTACCTGGTGCTTCACAACACCAGTGGAGTCCTTATCATGGCTGGAAAACACTCTCCTCCATTCTGCAGCAGGCTGATCATTTTTCTCTGTTGGTGGGGGGTCAGCCCATCTCCCTGCAGGGACATTACAGGATGTAATTCAGAGTCATTTTCTCCCTCTGCAACCCCTACCTGTCTTATCGATACCTCCACGATATGGCTCCACACAGTTCCACAATGGCTGCCGCTGTGGGACCTCTACTGGGTAAGGGTTGCAGATCCTGCAGGGCACTTGTCCTCCATTCAGTTTGGCCAGTGCCCACCCCACACACCGTTCTGTGTGTGCGTGCGTGCGTGCGTGCGTGCAAGCAGCGGCTGTCCTTCCTCCCGGCAGGTAATCTCTGTTTTCTCCCTTGCCTTCCTCCTGCTCACCTGTGTCAACTCACTTTTAAAAAAAAAAAAGGTGTTAGGTGATAAGGCCTATAGCTGTTTGTGTTTCAGTTCATCCCACATGGGCTGGATGGGGCAGGGATTAAGGCTCTGTGTAAACCAGTAAAATTCTTCCTTAAAAAAGTAATTTCTTCATAGACCTTGATTTGCACAAGGCAATATTGTCATGCTGAAACAGGAAAGGGTCTTGCTGAAACTCCACCCTCAAAGTTCAAAGGCTGTGTTTTGGTATGGAAGAGGTCCAAGCCCAAACAAGGAAAAGAAAGCCCCAGACAAAGCATCCCAAGTCTGTGGTTAATGTATGAAGGTTATTTCTTGCTGGATGTTTTCCTACTCAGCACACAGACTGCAGGTGCTCTTCAGGTGAAAACTTTGTCATCATATCCACATAAATCCAACGTATCAGCAACAAGTCCAGCTTTCAGACAGATAGGTGCTATCCATCATCTACAAGTAAATCATGCATGAGTGTTTGCCTCTTGGAGACTGTGTCCTGCCTTTCATCCAGAAAGCTGAAGTGTTCACCACAGATAGTGAGTGAACTGGATTGTAAACTCCACCAGATGAAGCTCTTGTAACCAGGAGTGTTAAGGGTCTTATGGTTTTGAGATGTATAAAAAGTTATGCATCACATATGTTTTGAACTCTCTAAGCATAAAATACTTTTGTAATTCTGCTAGGAGAGGATTTTTTTCTTGACTTTTTTCAAATCACCAATCACACATTTGCCAAAAACATTAAAGACATAAACACCTGCATCTCTGTGTAACTTCTCACGTGTGATTTCCTGCCATATCATTCTGAGTAGTCAGAACTATTAAAGTCATTAGAAGCTGTGGTTCAAATAATCAGTTTCTCTGAAATTCTTCATGTGGTTGAACTCAATATGAGGGAAAAAATAGCCCTTTATTGTGAAAATCAAACTGACTTAGAATATTTTTCAATATAATTTATAATGTAAAGACTTTAAACAATTTAGGATTCAAATAATCTGTGTCAAAAGTTTTCATGCACACTTGCACTTCAGGTGTCTGTAGCAGTGAAAAATCTGAGCAGGGTTTGTTCAGCCAAGCCAAGATATGTGGATGTAAATGGTTCTTTGATAAGGAATTTTTTTCTGGGCTTTAGAAGCAGATGGGAGGATAAAGGTCATCTTGTTTCCTTCAAGGGTTTGAGTGGCTTGACAGACAGTTTGTAGGACAAGGGACTCTGCCACTCCATCCAGCTCAAAGTAAGACGCAGTAATGGGCAGTGGTATTGTCCTCTGGGAACTGTCATCAAGAATAGCATAGGTCTTGAGCTCCTTATCTCTCCAGAACCATAGCTTCTATTGACTTCAAGTTCGGACTACTTATACAGAGATGTGTGTGCTTATATTTCCTTAATGTTTTTGGTGATTGTGTTTCTTTAAACAGACAAAAGTCAAGATAAAATTATCTCCTAGCATCCTAGCAGAATAACAAATGTTTTAAATGCTTACAGAGTTAAAAACAAATGTAATGAATAATTTCTTATACATTTCATCATAACACCTGAGACTTTTATTTTTACATTTTCTGGAGAGCAACAACTGGTTACAAGAGCGCCATCTGGTGGAGTTTACAATCCAGTTCACGCATTATTTGTGAGGAACACTTCAGCTTGCTAGGTTAAGGCAGCACACCATCTCTAGGCAAACACACATGCATGATTTCTTTGTTGGTGATGGATAGCACTTATATGTCTGAAAGATGGACATGAAAGCCCAGACACTGCTGTCTTGTTGGTAATACATTGATAATAAATGATGATAAATGAAGCATGCTGTATTCATATTTGGTCTGAGGAAACTAATATTTAACTGTTTATTTTTGTCTTTGAAAGAAAGTTTCCTGCTGAAGTTTTGCACATTAAACTGTATTTTATTCATGAGAGAATCTCCTGATGATTGGCATTATTGATGGATCCTGTAGCTCCACCTGCTGTTGTCAGATATGTTTTACTAGTTTTATCTTTTTCTTTCTTTCTTTCTTTCTTTCTTTCTTTCTTTCTTTCTTTCTTTCTGTCTTTCTTTCTTATCAAATCAAATCAGCAATGAAACATAGTTAAATATTCAGAAAACACTGTTACATCCAAACTAGTTTAAAGCCGTCGCTTTGATGACGTCAGATTAATCCCACCCTCTGCAGCTCAGCGCGGAATTTAAAAATAGGAAATTTCTGTGTACATTATCCAGCTAGTTTTTCCGTCAGACTGAAGTACTCGGCACGGCAACGTTAGAAATACAAATTAAGTGACTATACGAAGTGAATTTATTTCTCTTTGTTTATGTTTTTTGTTCAAGGCAAAACTAGTGACGCAATCAAATAGCACCGGCGTTGTTTCTATCGTTAGGCACTTCCTTACTGATGCGCTCTTCTTAAAATAACCAAAGAATAAAAAGTATTTTATAGTATTAGTCTTTGTAGTTGTTATAAGATGTCTGCTTTTACATTTATTCAGATAAGAAAGCTTTCTCTGTAAGTTTAAACGCGTTGCTGCTAATACTGGCAGGAATAAGTTCCGTTATTTAGCCAACAAGCTAACACGAGACTCCTTGTTGTCAGTAGCGACATACTGTAAAACAAATGACTAGTTCAATTAACTTTTCGTAATGGATGACAACTTGTCGTCATCTTCGATGGTGACTGGTCTTTCTCAAGCGTCTTTTCTCCAAAGGACGCTGGAGCGCTTATCCTCTACGCAGTGTCTGAAGCTCAAAGCTGAGGACAGGGATGCTGTCGCTGTCATTGCACTTCAGAGGTACTTATCAGAGCAAAGTGAGGGGCATCAGCAGCAACACACCTACACGTATGACGTGACTGTCACTGATGGAGTCTGGCGAGCTAAATGCTTTGTTCACCCTTGTTTAAACCACCTGGTGCACACAAACAATCTGAGGACTGGGACTGATATCAACATCACACAGTGCTCTTTTGTTTACAACGAGAGGAGATTAGGACACGGTTACATTTGCATTGAAAGGCTCAGATGTGGTGCAGAGACGTCTGTCGTCTTGCCCCGCATAAACGATGTCAGTTCACTGCCTATACTGGTAAAGCAGGGCATGGAGAGAAGTGTGGTGCTGCAAAGTGATGTTCCCCTTCAGGTGAGCCGCAAACACTACCTTTCTCTGTGGAACAACGACGACCCAGAGGGAGACATCTGGACCTCAGGATCTCCCTCATCTGACACAGTGCTGGACGGTGAGATGGTGCACCCTTACCCCTCTGTCAAACACAGATAAATAACATTAAGGTACAATCTGCTTCTTGGCTTTAAGGCATATGTTTGACCCAGTCCCTTGCCTGTAATAATGTGACAGTGTTGTCAGCATGGCAGTCTGGTAATCAGAATATGTTTTTTCACAAAAGACAATTTGATTAATTAAATAAGTTGAAAATGATGTATAGCTTCAATTTACAATTATTTTCATTATCAGTTTGTGGATTTATATTTCCATGTATCTCCTAGAAAAAACGTAATAAAAAGGTGAAAAAGAGCCCATCATATTTTATCTGAACCCAAGGTGATATCCTGAAACTGCTTGTTTTGTCCGACCATCAGTGGAAAAATACAAATGTTTAAATTAAATTTAGAATGATATAAAACCGACACTAGCAGATAACCCACAATATGAAGTCAAATCATGGAGTAATTGCATAATTTACTAAACTGTACATGGAAGGAATGCTGTTGTTGACTAAAACGTGTATTAAAATTGTCTGTGTCCATTCTAGCTAATGCCTCTCCTTTGCAAATACATATTTATTTTCCATAACAGAACTGAATTGGCTTTGGATGCCAAATTGCAGTTAAAATCCTGATGATGTGTTGTCTGCAATGTTTTCTTTTCAATAGTGTCCAAGATTAGTCTTCTGAGTAGTCTGGAGTCATCGTTTAGAAGCTCATGGAAACCTTTGCCTCTCCTTGTGAAAATAATACACAAATCCAGACTACGATATTATGGGAAGTTTGGGCTCAAGATTGATTACCCCTATCAGGTGAGTGTGAACCTGCAGAGAATTATGAGCCTCAGTAACAAGATGGGATTTCAGCAACAGGATCTCAGAATTTTATTCTATTTTTTTTATCACTGTTATGTTGCAACAAAGTGTAGTTTAGTTGTTTTTCACCACATGCTTTGTCATATTTCAGGCATACTTTGAAGTTGCTGACCAGAGTGGCACAATGTCGCTTGTGCTTTGGAATGAACTTTGTCCAGAGTTTTACCAGAGACTGAACGTAGGCACAGTGTTGTACCTCCAAAATTACACCATGAAGCAGAGTTATTCATGCCGTTCACGCCCACAAATGGACCATCACAGATTGAAGACCTTTAACTCTGTTGGTATGTACATTTTAAAACTTAGTACCACTGTTTTGAATTATAGCATTATAGCAATAGCATTTTTATTTTGTCTCAATAAAAAAAACTCAAATGCTGTGATATATAGCATAACACTGTCGTTGTGTTGTAGTAGTGACTTGTATCCCCTCACATATTCAAATTATAAATCAAACAATAAAGTACACCTTTTTTTCAGTTGCAGGATTTTGGGGGGTTCTGTAGTTTATACATGCAGTTATAATTTACTTTTACTTAAGGTGAACCTTGAGAATTGTGTGGCTATTGTTTGACCATTTCACTTGTTCTGGCATTTATTTTTCATTCCTCAGGGTTTAACATTGTTAAACTTACACTGTATGGAAAATTAAAGCATTTTTTTTTCCATGTTCTGAAAACTGTTCATAAAAAGCTTTGTGTAGTTTCATCATATCATCCACTGATGTCTGAAAGGCCCACTGAACTAACACCCATAGCTTCCACTCAGTCATGGTGTCTGCATATGTATTTTTCCAAGAAATCTGCCTGAACCCTCGCAATCCAGCTTCGGTCATCACTATAGTGTCACCAAAGAGTGTGCTGCCTCAGTGGGGATTGCCTGAGGTTTCCTACCAGTTCATCACCAGGTAATGAATTATTATTACTGTTGATGTCATTGACCCCATGAAGATCATAGCTGTCTCTGGTTAGAAAAAAACACTCTGTCGATACAGCATGAACTTGCTGTCCCATGTATGATTTCCATTATTATTATGATTTTGATGTAAAAAAAAAAATAAAATAAAAACTGCTTCATGTTACAGTATGTATGTTTCTTACAGGTCAGAGTTGGAAAAATTAACCAACAATTCTGCATGTGATGTCATTGGTTTGGTAACATTTGTTGGTCGTGTTGAAAGAGTCAAGAGGAAAGGGAACAAGGGTAAGAAATGTTCATAATTTATCTATTAAATGTAATTTGTGAAGACTGAAAGAAAGCAGCTGAATTTGTAATTTTGTAATTCAGTTATTGGTGATTGACCATGTTCACCTTTTAGGTCCAGAAAAATACTGGACGTATCGCTGGGTACACGCAGTGGACGGGACATCTAACCATCCTTTTATCTTGGAGATTTTTTCCTCTTCTCAACCAGAAATCTTTAGTTGTATCTGCCCAAGTAAGTCAGCTGTATCAGATAGCTCTGCTGTCAGACTTGTAAGCATTTTCACTTAGTTTGATTTAATACATCATCATCTCTTCCACAGTGACCTACCTGGTTTGCACTCAGATGAGGGTTTGTCAAGTGGAAGGCTCATTGCCCTACCTCACAAGCAGCTGTGAGACAGAGACATTCATCACAGGTTAGCTGATGATAATCTGCATATACTGTCTGTGGTGACAGTAATGATCACTGCAGTTGGAGACAAACTGTATATCATCTGTGTTTACAACAGGCTACCACAAAGGTCAGCCATATGTGAGTGACCTCAGAGTGAAGAATTTCATCCAGTGGACGAAGACTCTGAAGGACAATGTCGTCCTCAAGAAGACTGCTGTCGGTGGCCATTATTGCTACCCTTGTCCCCCCAAGATGTTTACACAGTCAATGGCAGATGCCTCAGGTGAGGGAAAACACAGAATGGTTCACAGGTGAACAGTTTTATTTAAACTTTTTCTTTTTTAGTTTGTCAGAACATATTCATTTCAGAATGCATTTAACAGAGTCTAGCTTTTCTTTCTTGTAATTTCAAGGCATTAAAGGATGGGCTCTACTTGCACTTGGTTCTGTTGTGGCAGGAATCAAATAAAATCTGGGTCAACATTCTCCTGCAGTTCTGCTACAAGACACGGTCCTGATAATTCAATTGTACATCTACCTTGCCTGTATCTTTTTGCATAGTTGCTGGGAGTTCATCTTTATACATTGTACTTGAATTTTAAAAATCTCTTCTTTCAAGCCACCCATAACAGTTTGGTATTAAGAGTACAGTACATCCTGCATTTAAAATTCTGCATCCCACAGTAAAAGTGATTTCATTTATTTTTACTATTTTGACTTTTGTTATTTTGAAACCTTTATGCTCCATCTTCAGCTCAAGTTCCCCTGGTTGCTGTGGCTGACCTGAAGAGGGAGTTAGAGACCCTGCAATATAGGGAACATAAAAAAGTAGCAATTCAAGGACAGATCACAGCAGTGCAGTACATGAAAACCCCAAAGACCACAGAGTCACAAGTAACAGAAGAGAGAGAGGTAAAAGATATTATTTCAAACCATTTTTCCAAGAAAAATGACCATTAAAACTAAGATAAGTGGTTTCCTGTAGGTGCCAGATGTTTCTACTGATATGTGTGTACCAGACACACACAGTCATCCCACAGCAGCTGAGCAGACTTTGTCATACAGTTTAAGATCTCCGTCTGCTGAGAAAATCTCAGCTGGCAGAGGAAAAAGAAGAATTCAAGTGAGGTATGGTTTGACCCCTGACTAACAGATTTGTGAGCTTGATATTGTATCAGTAGTAGTACGAGCACAATTCATCAAGACCTACGTTTAATAAATTGAATGAAATGTAACATGCCAACATGTTTTCCAGAAAAGCCACACAGTCCTCCTTGAGTCATGGTGGTGTGCCATCAAAAAGGTACTGAAAAAATCAGCTGATTGTATTCATCAGTAAAACATATCAACCATTCTGAGCTCCTCTATCTGTGCTCCTACAGAAGGGCTGGATATGAAAATACAGAGGAAGGACAAGAGCAAGAAGAAAAAGAGCGTGACTCTGAATTAGAGGAGGCTCAGGAGGTGGAATGTCACCTACAACTGCAAAATCCAAATCAAGGTGAATTACTGGAGCTACACTTTCACTGTGTGTACCTTATATGATCTGTGATCAGTGTCAAACTTCAATTTCAAGTGTTTACGTTTTTCATCTATTTTCCACCAGACTCTGATGTTTTATCTTGGGAAAGCAGCAGTTGGCTGAAGCAGAAGCATGAAGTGTCTGAACATTTGTGTCAAGGTGGTCTGTACCAGGACAGCATCTCTCAGAAGTTCACATCTGACACGAAGCATGTCCTCCTGCAGTGGAGTAACCTTCAGCCAACGCGGTGGACACCAGAGCAAACTGCTGACACCGTCCCACCTGTGGTTTGTCCAGGATACTACCAAGTAACAATATTAGGTAAAGCAGACTTATTCTGACCTATGAAGTCCCTCACTGAAAAGAAACATGCTTATTGTTCTTCCTGACTTTTCTGTCTTGGTATAAATTAACATTTCAGCCTCTGTAGTCCAACCTGTACAGAGTGTGTCAAAACATCCTCTTGTTCCCTAAATAAATCTCTCTGAATCATTCAAATGACGTAGGCAGCAGCTTTTTCCTCTTTTTGAATAGCTGTCTCATGAGGAGAAAAATTGCTGTTGCTTTAATTTAATATTGAATACCCATTGCTGAGTGACTTTATAGGTTTTTATTTTATTACCTTAAAGGGATAGTTCAGGTTTTTTGACGTGGGGTTGTGTGAGGTACTCATGAATAGTCGGTACATTACCTGCATTAGATCCTGAGCAGCATGCTCCCAGTTAGGAGATCTGACCGGGAGCACCCGGCAGAGCGGCAGGGCAATGCGTTGTTGTGAATGGGGCCACCAGAAAAAAAGTCTTTTAGGCACTTTTAAAAATGCCCACTGAAACAATCCAATATCCGTTTAAATGTACGCTTCAAGCACCTCAGCATTGGAAAAATGTGGAAAGGAAATGCAAAGGAAAGTGCTGTTTTCACGGGAAAATAAGTCAGACCGTCAGTGGGTTTCGGTGGGTGTTTTTAAACGTGTCTAAAACACTTTTTTCTGGCGGCCCCGTGCACAACAACACTTGGCTCTGCTAGTCTTGCAGGTGCTCCAGGTCGGATCTCCTAACTGGGAGCGCACTGCCCACGATCTAATGCAGGTAATGTACCGACTATGCAACTATCCCTTTAACATCAGTGAGCCACTGACAGTATTGCTGTCAGTGGAAAGTTGCACAATGTCACATGTATAAAACTCCAAAATTCATAACTCTGTATTATTAATGTTGACATGCTTTATTAAACTTTTACCTGTCTAGTCTATATTCAACAAGTTGTGTAGTTTAACAAGCTCTTGGCTTTGAAAAGCTTTTAGAATCACAATTAGCCGGCACACATTGTCAGGTAGGGCTGCCTTTTAGAGCCTTAAAAATGACCAAATAGTTTTCCAAACTTCTTTTTTCCCATCTTCCTGACAGGCATAAACAAGCTGATAGCTGTTGATGCTGCGTATTTTCCTGTTGTGAGTGCTGATGAACCCAGGGCTGTGGGTCTCCCTCAGGATCCACACGGCAACACAATGCTGTCCTGTCTCACGTCAGGATTCCTCTGCCCTCTCAGCGTTGAAGCTAACGACAGTGATGCAACTCTTCCTGAGCCAGGTAGCCACCACACTGGTAAACCAACTCAGGAACTGAGACTGGTGATGCTGATGCTACAAAATTGAAATTCTTATGAATTTCTTGTCTTGCAGAGGACATCTTAGCAACCACCAGTGAGCTGGAGGACACACATGTTGTCGGCATCTTGGACCTTTGTCATCTGGGTGGAGATAAGGTGGAAGTCCTGATTAACAAGGTGTACAGAGTGACAGAGGTTTCTCTCGAATAGGAACTACAGAAGAGCAATTGTACACTTCTGTGAGAGTATCTTGTAATTATTATCAGCGTGCAAGCGTGCACCTAATGCACCTGTTTTAGACCAAACCCCAATTTGGTACTTAAGAATAGTCCAATTAACTGTTAAATGTACAATAACAATAAATGTTACACAATACTTTAAATTGTGCTTTCATGTTTTGAAGAGTGAAATGTTTTATGATCTATTAAAATACTGAAATATATAAAACTGCATATTTTTTTTACCACCAGAATTCAACTGTATGTTTACAGTGACTGACAGATGTTGCTTAGGATACCAAGCTCAGTTCACTACAAACTGCAAGTTGTTGACCAGGCAATCACTGCAGACTTTGTACTAGTACTTTGTACTATTTTGGTGGCTGCCATCAAATGAATCAAAAATCAAATCATGTCAGAGATGACTTTCTTGGTAGCCATTGAACACTTTTACAAATTCTCTAATGAAACAATATATTCCTCTGAGAAGTGTTAAAAACAATATTTTATTTAAGTGCTGACGTCAAACCTTTTTCCTCCAATGTCCAGTGCCCTGCGTAGTCTTTTTCATAGATTAATATTAGTCTGCTTTTGTGAAGTAACAATATGCCTTTTTGCATTAAGAACACACAGCTGAGTAATACTCTTGTACATAAATATTTTTTAAGTAAACAGTTTGCTATGAATAACAATACATATGTTTAAAAATATTTATTTTAAAATATTTCACAATATCCAGGTTGATTTATAAATAATTCAATATAGCATAATTAATATCAAGATATTTTAGAATGTAAACTTAATTTGTTAATTTCTTTTAAAACAATATTAACAATATTTTAAAGCTTATTTTGATGGTAAATACAGAGAGAAAACAATCCATACAAGTGACTGTGCAACACCAACTTGGATGCAAAAAAAAGCCTCACCTCCTCTAATAAGACACTTCATTATCTCTTACAAAATTATTTTAATTTTAAAATCATGTAACATACATATGTATCTATTAGACATATAAAATAAACAACTATATAGTCTAAACTTTTTTTTTTTTTTTTTACATTCTATAATACAATATATTCAATGTTTGTTTCTGCACTGAAACAACAGAAATGGCTGTGTACCAGGTTAGTTTTGTTCATGTCCTGGCAAATCTTACACAGAAAGCATTGATCTGACCACACCTCACACCTGTGGTGCCAGTCATTGTTTTATAAATCAGAAAAGGTAGTACAAGTTAAATGTGATTGAAATCACATGCCTTCAAAGACATTGACACTGAATGAAAAACCCCATGAAGGAGAAAAGCATTCTGAAAGTTGAAGAAAAAAAGTGCAGCAACTACCATTGGGGAGAGCATTTAACTCCAATACAAAGAAAAACTGTACTGACTGAGCAGATGGATTATTTACAATGACTTCTGTGAAGCAATACACACTTAAAAAAGAAAGTTCTAAAAATCATCTCACATCCAAACATTCTGGTGGAGAATGGGTGATTTGTCCAAAGCAAAAATAATTTAGGGCTTAACCAACAATTGGAGCACATATCACATGATTCACTCACAGTGGAGTTTAATGAGCAGAATTTCCCTCAACCACCTTTGCAAGGCAAGTAATATGATAACAGTTATTTTGTATACAGACATAGACTGAAATCTGAAAGATGTGTTTAGATGGAAAAACAACCTTATGGAGGAATTTTACTAGCACTGCCTGAAAGGTTGATATTCTGCAACATGGATTTCCCAACAATATCTACAGATTTTTTGTCAGTAGTTGAAATAATTAATGGAGGAAAATAGATATACAGTTGTCTATGGCACCTCTGAGTCTACACTGAACATATGGAAGTGTGGAGATGCATAAAGGATGCCCAAGGCTTCCTTCACCCATCTAAAATAATATTTTCATGATGTTCTACAATTGCACTTTTTTTTTTTCTTAAAAAAATCTGAAACCCATTCAGGTAAAAAAAAGGAAAATGACTTCAGTCAGTTTTGGCTGAATTACCTTGACTCAGCTGTTATTATCACTAACAGTGGCCACACAGCTGGACAGCTGTTGCTGCACCATAATGTGAACTCTAAAAGTATGTGAAATCCTACTTGACAGGAACATATGGATTCAGATTCTTCATAATTATTATTATTTTTTTTATAGTCGTGGTGAATGTGACCCTTTACTCCAGAGTTTCTGTGTAATCGTGTTGTCATCTCATGTTTGGGAGAAGCTAACACTGCAGCACATTCCCATGCAGACAAAGTCCTGTGTAATCATTGTGACCATAGTCTTCAGTGGACACATGCTTTACCTTTAAAAAAAAGATACTGCTTATATCATCTTCTAAAGGAATGTTAGGACGTTTTCATTAAAAAAATACTTCCATATAATTTACATGGTACAATGGCTTATTATACACCTCTATATACATTGTACAGCTGTTCTGAAACAGTATAAATTAACATTCTTCTTTTTCAGATTGACATTGCACATAGGAAAGTGTAAAACGGCACTGAACATACATGCTGAAAGTGTTCTGACAGTGGAGTCCTGTTGTCCAATATGAACAGCACCAGTCTTGAATGGGACCGTAACATAGTTAACTTGAATGTGTACAGCTGAGGTGGCTGAGATCAGACTGTCAAATTGAGCATTACGGGCTGATTTGGATAAAGTATAGCACAAGTTCCACAGTGAGAATACCAGTAAACACTTCACACAGTCACAAGAAAACTGTGGTTTTCCTGCTGAGCTATCTGGGAACAACTGTGTAACACAGCAATTTAAAGATAGAAGACTGCTGAATTTAAATGAAGTCAGACTGACACAGACAGTTCCTGCACAGTATACTTTCGTGTGTGATTGTCGTTACCAAAAGATGTATGTTTTCCTCCTGAACATCGTTAAACTGCCAATCTGGCTTCACTAATACGCTCCAGACCTCCTTCTGTTACAACTGTCATCTCAGTTCTCTCATATCTTAGTCACACTGACTGTTTGAGATAGCTGATTAGCAGTTGGAGGTATCGCAGCAAGATTTCCTTCACCAGTCACAAAAAATATGATGGACTAAAAAAGTTTGTCACACAAAAAGTTAAAACCAGCACAGTATGAAAAGAACAAGATTGTAACATCTTATAATGACAGGACTGACTCCGCAGATCACTTGAGCAAATTTCAGATATATGAATACACAAAGTTTGACAGTTAAAAATAATAATTTAGAGTTTTTGTTATCACTGCAGCTGTATGATATTTCACAGAATAGCATATTGAATGTTACTATGTTTTCAAGGTAAATTAAATATCTGCTAGCATAATTTTTTTCCAATAAGATCACATTCATAGTAGGAAGCAATGTATTATTTAGCCCAGCTGCTCATGGTTGGAGCATAGGTTTTGTGACTTCCCAGATGTTCCACACAAAACAAAAAAATGACCAGACTTTAATAGACAGGGTAACACTGGTCAGAAATATCCACACAGCAGGCAGAATCTCGTCCAAATCATATCTCACTGTTTCTGAGATATTAAAATCACCAGGCACTACTCCTGCAGCAAACTACAATGAGCCACATACAGATCAGAGGTGGTGCACTCTCCTTGTAAAAACATCATCTTGCATTAAACCATGATGGGGTAAGACATTAAGACCAGTGTTGACCTTTTAATGTCTAAATGAAACATGAAATCAATTATAATTTTTGTATATATATATATATATATGATAAATAAACATGAAATAATTTCAGTAGGGATTCAGTAAATATTTAAATGAATCTTATCAAATACTATCATTACAGAAAATTTTCAAAAAGAGTTTGGACCTACTGATGTTAAGGTTGCAAAAAGCATCCAATCTATTATATGTAATATATTTGTAATAAATCCAATACAAATCTAGGTGTCTTTTGTTTAAATCTGATGCGGAAAATAATAAATTATGACCTATGAAAATATAACTTTGTATTCCAAACGGACCTGAGCTGGATTTTTAAAGCCATAATCAGACAAAACCATCAAACCGCACCATGGATGTACCATGGTTAAAGGCACACATTTTTACCCCCTTTGCTAGCTTGTTTATCATCCAAAGACTCTTACTGTAGAGCTCATCAGAGCTTTGTTTGTCATTCTCAGTGAGAAGTGGTGTGATAGTTGTAGCACCCCTTCCTCAGTCCCAGATTGAGGCTTTAAAAATCTAGATAGACCTTTCTAGTAATTGGAGAATATTCCCCCCAGTTTCCGTGTGTGTGTGCCACATGTGAAATCTGAATTATTACCAAACCTGATTTTAGATATGATAGTCATCTCACCACTGCACGTGTCACAATAATAAAACCTCTTCTTGGTGACTTGCCATGAACATACCTGCAAGTAAATCATTGTTTTTGGGACAAAATGGGAGTGACATCTGATGCCTGCCGACTGAAATACACATTGATTTAGAGTTCCTATGTTCACACATCCCTTTATGAGACAAAGCTAAAAATCTGAACAGGGTGATGATATTATCATATTATCATTATCATATATTGTCACTTGGGAGGGGTCTGAAGACTAATCTCACTGTTAAGCCACTATTAGTGAGGAAAACAGAATATTAATTCGTGGGAAAAAAATAAAGATTCTACTTTTGGGAAGGAGGGTAGTACCAAAGTGCAAACAGACACTTAGAAGGAAACTTTCTGTGTTAGATGAAAACGTCCACATGTAAACATGTGAGAGTGGTGTCTTCTTGAGAGCTCTGATAATCCACTTGTTACAGCAGTGTCACTGATTGACGACTGAGTGTGGTGTGGGCCGGTGATGAAGGGCCCAGCACCTCAGACTCTACTCAGATCCTGCAGGTAACGTCAGATCAGTGCGGCCTCTGCTTGTGGTTTTCACTCCAGTGACGTATGGACCGGCTTCTTCTGAACAGGCAGCTTCACATCTAAGGTAAGGTCACTACGAGAAATTTTCCACCTCCACTGCAGAACTTGACATCAAGTTTGACTTGCCACAGCGTGCTGCCGCCTACACGGCGACAACACAGGGAAATATCAGCGCTCTAAGAAAAGCCCACAGCGCTACCGAGTCAGCATATTTTGGAAGTCTGAAACACTGCCAGTCTGGTTTTGGGAATGTTGGTATTGCCTTTGTTGCTGTTGCCGTTGTGCTTGCGGCAATTGCTGTGCTTGTGGCTGCTGCTGGATGTATCCCACAGTGCTTTGCTGTGGGACATTAGTGGTGTGTAAGAATGCTGGAGTAGACCCGCCATGCACAAGTCCTTGAGTCATCTGTGGACACAAAAGCAAATGTGAATGTACTCTGGCCAGTTGGCAGAACCCCCTTCACTAAGTTTTATCTTTCTTAAACAGTAGCCAATCTTGACTGAGATGCATGATAAAAGTATACATGAGTGTTATCTCTGAATATTTAGATTTAGTACTCTGCAGTACCTAAACAGGGGTTGTAAACACATGTCAGGCATAAGGCCTGAATCTTATGACTCTTCATAAAAGCAAAACCCTCCCAAGTATTACTAGTTCTGTTACAATGCAGAATAAAGTGAAGGCTAATGTTGGCTAGTAAAAAAATGGCATGCTCTTTAGCAAATTTCTTTAAACTGACATATTCGTCCCAGTAGCTACTGGAAAATAAAGAATAAAATAAAGTACAATAAAAGCCTGATACAGAGACAGGATTGCTGTCTTCAGCACATAGCAAAACACACCTTAATGATCCATGGTGGCACACTATTCATTCAATAAATCTCAGGAGAAAAAGATGAAATAAAATACAGTGTTGGGGTATGTAAATATGGAAAAACTAGGAGACTCTTCTAACCCTGTAAAATTTAGACCACCCTCACTTTAGCAAGGCGAAAAAAATATATAACCCTCCCCCTTCTCTGATGATGTTTCTCAGGATGTTTTGGCGTGTAAAGGGATTTAGGTAAGCTACTTATGAACTGTGTTTCTCCACCAGACTAACAAGATTCATCTATGGTAAGTTTTTTGAATGGCTAGGAGGAAACATGATTAAAAAAAGTAAAGTCTGAAGAAAGTAATTCAGTATGACATAATTTAATATCTGATCTAATGAATTTTAGATTACATCACAGCTTTGTTACAAAGCTGAGATTTTATAAGGACTGAATGTGACACCAATCTCTTTGTTAACACCCTGTGGGAATGGCACTGTTGCTGTGGTAACTAAGGATTGAGATGCAGTGTAATACCTAAAATTATCATAAATCAGTAAATATGAAGCCTGAGCATTATTATGCAACAACCCATTACTAAATATGGATTTTAAACTCAAACATATGCTAGTAGAAACTATACACAGTGACTGATATCGCCGCACAGCAGATGGTCGTCGTACCTGAAAGAACTGCTGGGGCTGCTGTAGCTGCAGGGAGTGCTGAGAGGCCTGAGGCTGAGTGTGGTAGGCTGACTGGGACTGGTGTGAGATGAAACTGTTGTGTGGGAACATAATGGGGGACGTGAAGACCGGAGAGGGCACGAGGACAGCGTTGCAGTTGACCTGCTGCATGGAGAATGAGGGGGCCATGATCTGCTGCTCCAAGGTGTATCTGTATGGAGTGTACAATGAAGAGCTCAGACAAAATGTGACATTATACCACAGCAGACTTCTATGTGTGTGTACATACGTATGTGTCTGTGCAGGCTAATTAAAGCAGTTCTCACATGGTTTGGGAGATGCCCATGTTGCACTGAGAAGGCTGCGAGGTGACACTGCTAGTGGGAACCAGCGTCTGCATTGGCTGGTTGAGAAGCATGCTGCAGAAAATAAAATCTGTTACTGGAAGAATTCAGTCTGGACAGCTAAAAAAAAAACCCAATGAGAATGAGGTTTTCAACCTTCAAAATTTTCCTCTAAAATAGTATCAAGGTAGTACAATAGATACAAATGAAATTTTTGATGTTAGCAGAACTTTATTTCTGAAATTATTTGGAGCCAGACTCATATTTAGAATTAAATTAACCAGAGAATAAAGCAAGGAAAACCTGACCACAGAAATTGCTCATGTGAAAAGAATAAAATTGTTCAAACTTTGTTTGAAAAATGTCTTCATGTAGGATCTAATTGCCCATAACAATCAGAGAATACATTTTCAGGGTCTTCAAGATTCAGAATATCATAGTTTAGAAGTAAAGTACATGTCCTGTAATTTCCCGATCCTATAATTACTTCAAAAATTACTTTCTGTGTGGGATGGCAGATAACGCTCTTCATAAAACTGACTGTATATTACTAATTTTTAATGTCTGCCAGTAATGTCAATATGGTTTTGACTATTATGTGTCTCTTTCAGGACTCTCACCGTAGTTGTCCATCTTGGCTGAACTCGTTGTCTGTGTGTCTTTGGTTTGCATCCTGCAGAGGCCTCGTGTTGGTCTGAGAGAACATCATGGGGTTGCTGTAGAAGGGCATTGTCAGACTTGTGTTCGTCTGCACGGGCAAACTCACTGACTGTATCTGCCCGCCCCGTGCAGTCCTTTGCTGGACCTACGATTAAAAAAAATAAAACACACGCTGAACTAATCAGAGATACCATACACTTGTTAACAGCGTATTAAAAACAAGAGACACCACCAGTTAAATTAAATAAATGTCTAATCTGCTCATCCATCCTTCCTACATGAAAATACAGTATTGCTACAATGCAAACAAAGCACAAACTGCACACAGCATGTGATTAAGCAACTGAATATGAAGCTACAACCTGTTGTTATGATGTTTATATCTTTCAATAACAGACTTCCTCCCATTGTGTTATTATCCTCTTAACATTAGAGGACAGCTGTGTTTGGACATGTTGGTTGTTTCAGATTTGCATTTTCACTTGAACAGCTCTGTACCTGTGTTGAGGGTGAGCTGTTTTCTCTCAGGAGAGAGCGAGGGGACGAACTGTGGGGCCCGCAGGCTGGTGGTTTGGGGTGGCCTGAGAGTTGTCTGATCACCCCTGATTGGCTCAGCTGAGTTGGCCTGCCTGGGCCCTGCTGCTGAGGCTGCTGCTGGGCCTGGCCAAAGTCATTGTGAATAGGCTGCTGTAACAACATCTAACACATACATATAAACAGAAAATATGAATTTATAAAATAAATAAATAAATATAAATAAATTTACAAAACAAAATTTTTTCTTGAAAATGTATAAAAACTACAGCCAAAAACATTTCTCAAATGTTATTCTGCACATTTTGTAGACAGATTTATTCTGTTCAATGTTTATTCTGTTCCAAAGTCACAGCAGTATGTCTGAACGGCCTTAGGTTTATTCAAATCTATTTGAGGTAATACTAGGGAAAGGGAAGGGCGATCAGTTCAGGTTTAATTTCGATTAGCTCACTGTTAATCTGTTGTGTGAAAATGTGTGTTAGTGTTTCAAATCACAGCTCATCTCATGTCGCCTTCACACCCAGGAGGCAATGACATTCAACAACGTGACAACTCGTCCTTATTAAACACACATTACAACACTCCCAGGGTCTCATCTCTTCTCTGAGCATTTTATGTGGTTATCATGTAGTGATGAGAATACTGTTGTTGAACTGGTTAGTGCTGGCCTCTTGGTGGGGCCATTCCACCATTACTGTGAGGGGTTAGGTAACCTGATCTTACAATATGACTTCCTCTAACAGCTGATATGGACATGTCCTACCATTTTATGTCTGGTTTAAAGTCTGTGGCTGTCTGTTTTTGAACGAAATTAAGTGTTTTCCCGATGAAAAAATCAAAACATGTGATTTCATATTTACTTTTAACTGCTTGGCGTGAGTCTTTTACTGTATTCTGTTTTTAGAGTTACCTGGAGGTTAGCCAGGTGAAGCTTCTCCTTAATGTCGTGCAGCTCCTGCTGCTGTGTCTTAATGTCAGCCTGCAGAATGCGAGTCCTCTCCTCCAGCTGCTCCTTCAGCTGGTTCATTACACCGAGCTGAGGCTGCTGCAGCTGATACATTGACGACTGCTGCTGCTGCTGCTGCTGCTGCTGTGTTTGCTGCTGCTGGAAATACATGATCCAAAACAATCAGTTAGGAACAGACATGAGAAAAGCCTGGCAGTTTTCTTTTTCGTACTACAGTTGTGTTTTTTTTCTTTCCTTCAGACAAAGTTATGGTAAACTTGGCAAGCTGTATGATCAGTTGGTATGCATCATATAATGGTCTATTCTTGTGAGCCATGCACTTTTTCTGGGAAAAAGGTCTTAAAATAATATGGATGAGTGATTTATATATACAAATACAAACAGTTCAGATATAATCTTAACAATTATTTCTTTTTTTTCTTTTTCACTTGGTTTCATGACATAATCTTATAACTGCGCCTGGAGCTGGAGGCACTGTACACAAGAAACAGATGAACACATACGGCAGCAACAGTTGTAAGAGTAAGATACTGTACAGAAACAGAACAGAGCAAGGCAACAGGCAGGAGAGGAAGTCTAAACACTAACCATTGCGGAGTGCTTGCTGCAGGTAGGAGAAAGGGGGAGACTCATTTGGGGAACAAGGTCAAAGGAATTTTGTCTTTGTGACAGATTCTACAGGGGAAAATGACAAAGTTTTAAAATTTTGCACAATCTCTGACATGATATTGTGCCAACTTGGTGCAGTTGTTTCTCACTGACCAGTTTATCTCTAAAGAAAGAGAGACACACGAAAGTGTTCAATAAACTGACCTTTGAACTACTGGGCTGGAGTCTGGCAGATGTCTTCTCCGTCCCAATGGAAGCAGACTGCCATGATGGTGTGCAGGCCTCTGTGTAGGAGTTAGCTGCTGCAGAAGAGACAGTTCACCTCTACGTCACAATCATTGTTTTTCTCTCTATAGTTGAAAACCACAGCAAAGGTACTGCTCTACTCATTTCAATAGTGGGATACAGTTTCTTATCTTGTCAACTGCTGATACGCTCACCTACGTTGCTTCCAGTTATTTCCACTTACACAGGAATTAAGCATTTCCAGCAGGAGTTACTGCTTTGCAGATTTAATTTGCCCTGTGTTTGCCTCTTAGGCTACAAAGAGGCTACTGCCTAACCCTGTGAGTCCTGGATGTTTGTACCTATGGCCTGAGAAGTGGACTGCAGGCAAGGCTCAGGGCTGGAAAAAACTGTATACTCTGCACTTTTTTCAAGTGAAACAAAAATCACCATTGAATCTATATTTTTCTCTATGGTCAGTATTCTCCAGGCAGTACAGGGCAGCACTATCTTCGTGCTCTCTATCATAAAGATGTACTTAAAATATTTATTATACAGTATCAGGTCAAATAAGCAAATGAGATTTTAATTGGCAGTGGTGTATGGATAAATCGAGAATTAACATAACTTTTCCATTTTTTTATGCACATAATAATGTTTATTGGTTGAATTGATATAAATATAAATGCACAATAGCATTCATTGTTCCATTGCAAAAAGAAAAGGTGAAAAATGACTGGATGACATAAGATATATATTGTATAATTCTCAGGAAACAAACACCGTACTGTAATGCTTATTAATATTTCATTCTACAATCTCGCCTCTTTAAAAGAGGTGGATTGTCAATACTCATATGTTTCTTCCTAAAAAGAGTAACCACTGACCTTTTGAGATAAAGCCAGAATAACTTATGAAATGCATTTCTTTTCTGGTTGTATAACAATGCTGCTGATTCACTAGCCCCTGACTGCCACCTCATTCTATCTCTGACTTAAACCCACAAACTATGATGCATTCAGTTTTCTCACTGTAGTCGACACGTAATGAAGCAAATACAAATCAGTGACTAATTATTGCTCTGACAGATGTAGCTTTATGAGTGTGTGTGAGAATAATGAAAGTTTGCATTTGTGTAGGTTAAGGGAAGTCAGCAGCAGCATCCATGTTTACCAACTGTAATGAATCTGCCACTGTGCATTGTTCGTAAATATACAGATGGCAGTGAAGTGTGTTAGTACATTAGACAGTGGGTGGAAGTCAGAGAGACTGCAGGCTCAGACAAACAGGACATGCTAAAGTAAGCCCTGGAAACATTTCATCATAGATGCATCATCACCCATATGTACAAAGGTGGGTGTTTTTATTGACTTCTGGCCTGCTTAGTTACAGTGGTTTTACCTCTGATTACAAGATAGGAGGCTGAACCATCGAACTTTCTTACATTTTTTTAAGCTACATTTAAAAAACAACAGTTCCTGCAGCCATATAGAAGCTGGATTTCTGTAAATATTGACCGGCTGTTGAGTGAGTTAGCACTTTAGAGAGCAGAGGATGACTCACATGCAGAGTCTGACAGCGCTGTGTGGGAGGACTTCCGGGAGCTGTGGGAGGATACTGAACGTGCACCACTGTTTCTGTCCCGTGTAGGGTCCAATGTGGAGCAGATGTCCAAGTACAGCTCCTGAGCCTGGAACACAGTGCAATATTCAAAATAGAAGGTCCATTTAAAGCTGACATAAAGACTGACCTTGTAAACATCACATACTGTATGTAGAAGTACTCTTGACTATTACCTTCACAGAGGAGGGAGCTATCTCAGGTGGAGACAACTCTTCAAGGCCAAATGCTCTCCTCCGTTCAGCTCGCACTTCCGCATAACTGAATAACAGCAGATAGAAACAGTACATGTGACAAATCTACATCAATCTTAATCCAAATCTACTGTTATTTCTGTCAAAACCACCAACACCCTATACACACCCCTAATCCCAGGACAATGACAAAGTGTACACATCCCTCCCTTGACAGAAGTATCCAAAGGTACGCCAATAAGTCCTACCTGACAACAGTGTGAGTACAGACGATGAACTCAGGTTTGGAGTTCCACTGGTGGTACGTGATGTAGTAGTGAGTCTGCAACCAAATCCACTGCTGACCTTTGGTCAGGAAGCGATAATAACAGGATTTACCCTTTCCAAACTGCATTACTGAGGAGAGAAAAAAGAAGACGCACCTCACTGCCATGTTCATGTTTACAGGTGCAACAGGTCAAACCTTTTTATGTGCACTAGTACAGTGGATGGATGCATTTAACTATAACCTATTTGTCAGAGATGGATTAGTAGATCTGGTTGTAAAGGTTGGTAAGAAAGAAGCAACAGACAGAGATGACAGAGTTACTTACACTGCTTGTGACATTGAGCTATAAGCTCCAAGTCGTCCACATGATAGTAATCATAGCCAGAAGTTCCAAGAACCTCAAAGGGTAAATAGCCTATGATTGGTGAAGCTCTGAAACAAAAAGAACATGTTCAACATGTAAGAAAGACAAATTTGCTAAAAAACTTTCATGGCTGATTGATAGGAGAGGGAAAAACACAATTTTTTTTACCTGTGATCTAAAAACAGGAACTTCCACTCAAGGCTGTGTCTGGATGTGAATTCATCACAAGGATCTTCCACATTACACAAATCCTAAACAAAGCCACAGACAGAGTGAGAAAGTCACTTTTAGGATTTCACAACAAAGCCAGGAATTAACAGATTTATTTTCTTTTTACCTAGATAGCTGGTAGATTTGATGCACTACTACCACAAATTATTCCTTTCTATCTTGTTTTCAATTAATACATAAGACTGTTTTCACAACAAATGAATATATAATGTGTGCAAACATTTGTGGAAATTTTATAATTTTTGTAGGATAAATTAAATTCATATTGGTTTGTATAATGCTTATTCTATGAAACGTCACAAAATGTACAGTATAATTTCTGCTGCTCTAGTATCAAGCATTTGGCAATATTGACAGTTTTGCTGACATTTAATCATTTTGTAAGCATATTTGTGCGTCAAAGCACAACACAACACACAACAATTTGCATGTTCTGATTGTTTCCTTCAATCTTTCAGTCGTCAGCTTTTGTTCACAATATACTTAAAGTAGAGAGTAGAAACTGTGAAAAATATGTTTTGTGTAGAATTTGAAAATTACATATTAAAACGAGCAAAGGATTTGTCTGGTGTCTGAGAATTGGAGGGAAAAAAAATCGTACATGTCATATAAGTTGAGACGTTATTGATCCAGTCATTCCATTTGGCAAAGTCAGTGTAATCAGTGTCTTTTACTTTTTGGAATAAGTAGTGGGGGAGAACTGAAGCCTGTCCAATACATCAGCTCTCTGAGCACCCACACATTTCAAGGCAGAAAAGTAAAAATGAAAAGACCTGTCACGTTTTTTTATGAAAAAAAAAAAAAAACTATTTATAAATGTATATAAACCATCCTGACAGTTATTGTCACGTGATAAACAGGAGTTTAATGGCACTTGTCCATGCTATACATAACATGCTATTACATTCTTGTAAATGCAAACACGCAACAGAAATTAGTCCCACCTGAGCCATCATTGGAGATGTGTGCCATTTTGTAATTTTCCTTTTATGTCTGGACAGGACAGAGGTAAGTATAAACCTGTTACTGTGATCTGAGTTGATCTCAGGAAGGTTACAAGCTTATGACAGTGACTTTAATCGACTGCAATAATTTGGCAAGAGTCCAGATTTCAACTCATTGAGCACATTTGGGATCGGATGTATCCTAATGATGTAATCAGTTGGGAGGTACACAGTGTGCCACACTGTAACAGTGTGCAGCAAGAAATCTCCAAAGGGTGCTTAACTCAGTCGGTACGGACCTCATGCCTCAGACAAAGTCTCCCTCAGGCCATGGACCACAGCTCACTGCTGTTACGCAGTTTGATTATTGTTGTTTTCAGTACCACCTGTTTTAGTCCTTTGAGGGTAAGAAACAAAGGCACAAGTTTAAAGATCCCAGCTGGTCTTACCTTGAGGAACTGCGGAGTGACTAATCGTACAGTAGCAATGAGGCAGACCTGCTCCTCCAGCGTTGACTGCAGGTTTCTTGGTAACGTCAATTCAAGCCCGTTACAAGAAGATGTAGGCACTATGTGACAGAAGACAAGGTACATGGGACATTCATGACATCCATCATAATTTTAACCCATGAAAAACCGTAATCCTAACCCTTTCTTCCAATCAGTTTGTTATATTAATGCTAAATTAAGAAGATACATGGATGAGACTTTTTACTGAATGCTTCAAAAATAGACATTTTACAGAATTTTAAATCAGCCAGCGACAGTAAGACAGCAACAGTGTAGATAGACAGGAAATACGAGGAGAGAGATTGAGGGAGTGACATGCAGTAAATGGTCTGGCCAGCCTGGAGTCGAACCAGGGACCTGCTTGCTCTTCAGGGCTTTTTACATATGGTATGTATGAAGAAAATTAAAATCCTTACCATTGTTATGAAACTTGAAATCTCCAACAAACTTGACGTACTCGTACACAGGTGGCTCTTTTGGGTCAATGTTGCCTCTGGCAAGATGACAGCAAAATTCAATATGTGCCTCACCTGAAAAACAGCAGATTTTATTTTGAAGGTTAACAGCCTATTCATAATACAGTTCATGAGCACCTTTCTACCAAATTGTCTCAATTCTTAATGAGGTGCTTCTTGGTCATGGTTGTGTTTTGTTTGACAGAGTAGTTACAGATCTGCAATGTGCAAATAAAGAAAAGAAGGAATACAATTCATATGAAACATTGTATACTCCAACACATCTTACAACGGATAATGTTTGATATAAAATATACTAAGGAGAAAGAAAGGGTTCACATCAACAAAGAGTTATGGCATAATGCTTAAGTAACATTTTAATACGATCCTCAATACATTTCTTACTCTCTCTTGGGAGAGTCAAAGGAGATCATACATGCATAACAACTGCACTTTAATCTTCAGTCATGCTCAAATGTCAAGTCTCTGAAAGAGAAACTGACTAATGGAGGGCTTTGACCTGGATAAGACTGTTTTCCAGCAAATTTACTACAGAAGTGCATAATTTGCTAGCAGTTACAGACAGATGATTATTCCCTAAATGCTCAAAAATCTAAAAGTTTTGGATGTACAAGTCAAGGTAGTTTGGGCACTTTTAAAGATGCTTTTTATGTGAATTCAGCCGATGGGGGAAAAAGCAGGTGGATCAGCATAACTTGCACAGGAACGCAATTATTTTGGTTAAAAGCCAGACATTCCTTTTCGTGCAAGAAGGATAAAAGATTGATGTCTCTTTTGAAATGTGCCCAAGAGAAGATGATCACTCCAGACATGGCTCTGTGACAGTTTGCTATTTAAGCTTCTAAGGACAGACCAAGACACTTGCGACTCACCATCTCTCTTCCTCAGAAAAGCCCAATAGTAACATAGGATTAAGGTCAGTGTCTTGAGCCCCAGATACTACATTGCTTTGGATTACTGTGCTAACATAACAGTGATTTAAAGTCTTAACTATGATACTAAGATAGCTCCTATTATTAGCTAAAAGGCTAATCATAGACACACACTCATCAGCAATCCAATAAAGCGCAGACCCCAATTCAGCAACTTGCTCTATATATACAGTTTCAAGTGGCATTATCAGTGTCAAAGCAATCTGTAGAGATCTTCTGAAACACAGAACACAAAATGCCTCTATAACAACTTGAAAAGACTGATACAAAGTCAAGTGTTTATTTCAGACAAAGACCTACAAGAGAATAATTTCAACAATCAACATTATATGTACAGTACTTCCCCACACACTGAACGTTTGACCTCCTGATATCACGGGAGACAATCTACAGGCTTAAACCAGTCAACTTATGTTGTGCTTCAACACGATGACCCAGACGCAGTTTGGTGCTAGAAACAGACAAGGGCCAGACGTGTGCAGAGAGGCCGCCCAGTAGGATACTCACTGTCAAGGAAGTCAGCAGCAATGGGGTCAGTCATCAGCATGTGGGATGATAGCAGCTTATACACCTCCCCGTGTTCCCGCTCCGGGAGGAAATTCAAGATATTTTGGTCCACCATATCTGACTGGTGCAAAAGGAGAGATGGATGATGGTCAGTCTTTTGGGGAGTATGTGATATGCAACAGTGTTGCTATAGAAATAGACATCACATTACATGTTGTATAATTATTAAGCACTGGGAGCCTATCTCCATTTCTGAATTTTAACTTTTTTTGCAGATTCAGAATTTAAATGTAGTGCACAAACTATCTCTCGTAAATGTGTTTTGGGAATAAAAATTTAATTAACATCAAGGCAAACTAATAAAAATCACATTCTAACATGTCCTGGATCAGATCAGGCGAATTGCAGCTATCAATTTATCAGTGCAAGTCAAACATTAGTCAATAAATGTTGTTAACATGTAACTTACAGTATTTTAGCTTTCTCACTTACCGGTAAATGGCCAGTAAGTGAAGACACACTGTCGGATACGTATATGATGTTTCCATCTGTAGTTAATGCTACCAAGAAACCATCTAGGGCCTGTAAGAAGAGGGAAAAATTGGGACTTTGACAATGAGGCTAGGAGTTTGTTAAAAATTTGAGCTGCTAACCCTAAACCTACACACACATCATCCTGAGCTTTACCTCCAGCATTAGCTGAGTGAACTCCTCATTACTGAGGAATGAAGGCTTCCAGTCCTGTCTCACATCACAGGTTTCATTCTGTGCAGTGATGTCTAAAACAGATGGAGGGTAGAGTAAAAGAGAAGGTTTAAGTCAACTGAATGATGGAAACTAAACATTCTGCCAGAGGAGAAGTGTGTTAGTTAATTCCAGAAATAGAGGGGGGGGGGGTCTAAAAGTAGAAACAATTCTACTATAGTCTTTCAAAATTTGTCAAACTAAGAATACATGTTGTATACAGACTACAATACATTTCCCTACCTTTCTGTTTCTGCAAGAAGTCAATAGTTCTCTGCAATATGGTTGACTTGTCCATCTTGCGCGGATGGCCTTGGCCCTGCAGCATGGTGCATAGCTCCTTGATGAGTACATTGAATTGGTCTCTTCTTTTCTTTTCTGATTTGTTACGGGATGCCCTTAAGATGTCAGCACATGAAAACAATTAGAAATCAGTGGAATTAAAGATGAAAACTAAGCCAATCCAGAACCTATAGTTAGACATTTATTTATCCTGTTAAGGCTGGGGGTCTAACGGCAGCTCAGTGCTAATGAAAATGAACCTGAGACTCATCTAATCTGTAGCTAAAAATAACTGTTATAAAGACAGAGCATGACAAACGCAAAGTAAGTACAAACTAAATACAATTTAGGTCTTTAAACAGACAATTACAGATTAGGTGATTAATGCAACTGCTTTCACCACCACCATTTTCAGCAGACAAACTTTGATAAACCTGCTTTGCACCAAACAGTAGACAGAAAAAGCTCTCCACAGACTGAATGTGGGAAGTCTAAGTCATCAAATCTTGCTCTGTGTCTTTTACGTGTGTAGGTAAGCAAGCCTTGGTATCTCGTTAGCCACGACAACATAGCTCCACTCTGGGTCCATCAGCTTGTTTTTAATTTCCTCTGTCCCTTGTGGCCAAACGTGAGTAATGCATCTTTAATTACAGAGAGAATTATACGTGATTTAAGATGGCTCTTTTCATGTTGACTAATCTGGAATTATAGAATGAAGAAATGTTTTAAAACGTTAAGTAGTTTGTGCAATTAGAAATTTATTCCTACAAACTAGAATTACTGTCTCACATTGCCTCTGCCAGCCAGTCAAGTTGCAGGAAATATGGTCACAATCTAGCCTTCTGTTCCTGAGTTACAGTGCTGAAAAATGGCCAGATGTGTTTGGAACATTGAGGAACATTGTGATGTCACAGTGAAATTGACCTTTGACTGTTTGGATATAAATTTCATCACAAATGTCATCATCATTTTATCCTATTAGACATTTGTGTTACATTGTGTCATCATTGGTGTATGAATATTTCAGTTATGGCCAAAAACATGTTTTGTGAGGTCACAGAAGCTTTGACCTTTGACCACCAAATTCTAATCAGTTCATCCTTGAGTCTAAATGAATTTTTAGAACAAATTTGAAGAAATTCACTCAGGGCATTCAGAAGAATTGAACGTCAGTCCAAAAACCTGAAATGCTGGAGGCATAATTGAACATTTCAGCAATGGGATCATAACAGGTATTTTGGTGGAACTGGAACAAATTTGATTTGCAGAAATTAGACACAGCTTCCCCAATATTAAGGTCAGCAATAATTTTCATATATATGAAAAAACACCAGACACACCTGATACCAAGTATTGTCTAGAGCCATTCTATTGAGAAATAATTAAACATGTTAACAGTATTACAACTAACTAAAAAATGGAATTTAAAAAATGTGTGAAATATTATATTATATTTGACAGTTAGCAGTATCAAGAGGTGACCCCTTGTGAATGCATTTTTACATGAATTATGTCAATTTTACATCTAAAGTTATGCTCAGCCTTGATTTTCATGGACCTTATTCTTTACTATAATGTCACACTGAAGCTATAAGCTTATTTTGAAATAATTAATACCACCAAGCATTTTTTTCATCCCCATTACTAAAGGAGCAGAAAGAGAAATTGACTTCTGAAAGCTGTATCTAAATGAGTTAAAACTTCCATGCCCTGTATTTTACACAAACATATTCATTGTGGTATATTCAGTTCAATACAAGTCCAAACTGACAAACTGATATAAACCTGCAGAGAAGGCTCAGTACCTTTTTGCCCTGTCTTTCTCATCTTCATCCATTAAATCTTCCACGCAGCTGTTTGTGCTAGAAACAGAGAGGTGCATGTTAAACATTTGTTTAATCTTTTTTACACATTATTACTGCAGATATTATCTGAAGCCAGAACAGCACATTGGACCTTAATGTAGCTACTAAAACAGGTTCATTAATGGCAATAGAGATGGTCAGTCATAAAGCACTGGGATATATGTAAACAGCCACACCCAAATAAGACTTTAACCTGAGTATGGGCAGTAGCAAGTTCTTGCCTGATGAACAATTTCACTTCAAGTGCTAACAGACTTCTGCTGCCCAAACCCAATGCTTTGTCAGATTCTACTGAGTTCTGGTTGTGTTGGGGCTTCAGGTTCAGTTTGGGATCATGTTTGGGTATTTTCAAAATTGCACTTATTAAAACATTCCATTCTTTCACTCTCTGAGAGTGCCAATTGTCTGTATCTATGCATGTAATTGGTTGCAAGTGGAGATGTACTACCCAGTAGAAAGAGAGAAAAAGACAGTAATATTGTAGCATTAGCCTGATGACCTAACGGTCAGTAATGGATGAGATAAAGCCAAAATAAAGCTTCAGATTTAGGTTCAAGTTTAAGGTCTGTGCAAAAAACTGTAAATATTACATGGTAGAATCAGCTAAAGATGTACAATTATTATGTTACTGAGGTACAAAGATCCTCTAAGGCGTTTCTGGTTTTGAGGTATATAAATAAAAAACTGAATTGAAAAGAATATGCATCAGTAATGAAGTATGATCACATAATAATGTGACAATATGGTATCAACACAAGTGTGTCCTTTAACAGTGTGTCTACACTGAATGCAATGCAACGGCAATACATGAATTGTATAAAGCCTGCATGAATAGGAGAGGAGATTAAGTGGTATGAGATACAGTACGTCATAGAGCCTACAAGTAAAACAATAAGCAAGCAGTGGAAGTTTAAGTCGGTAAAATGAGGTGTGCTCGTAATCCAAACTCTGTGTGTGAGTGTAATTCTTTCTTGTTATAAATCAATATTAATATAGCAATACAGTGATTCATTTAAGTGCTTTGATTGCATCTGTGTGAAACTGTAGCACACTCCAGCTCAAACTGGGGTAAGACACTGTGCATGACACAAATTTCTTCAGATATTCAAAAACTGGAATTTAATAATCGAGATATCTTTTTACACACATTTAACATGTTCTCTTGTGCATTGTTGTGTTGTATACAATTACAAAAGTTGCAAATTCCTGTAAAAATCCTAGTCATCTGAATCTTTCTTAACCACTTTCACTGATACACTTGCCTCCTATCATCATCACATGCCTAGTCAACCCACATTCTCATCCATTTCTCTTTATCTCTTTGCCATAGATTGACTGAAAAATGTCTTTCTGAGTAGCAGCTCAACTCAATTTATGTCAAAGAAAAAATGTGGGTCTGAACTGTGCAACACATTGAACTGTTGTTCAGCAGCTCAACTGATGAATGGGAAAAAAAATGCCAACCATTGAAATATTAAATAATTGTGGAGGACAAGACTGAGGGCATTTTAAAGAAAAAATGACAAAAACTGTATTTCTTGAAGTTTTTTTTTTTTACATCTAGTCTGCGTTATCAGCTAAAAAAAAAAAAAAATCCAGGGGCATTTTGTGTTTAATAAATTTATTTTAAATTATATTGAATATTTTTTTAATTATCAACCAATCATTAACCATTTAGCCATGAATGTGGCTCACAATCTACAAAGGAGATTGTTTATAATTTGTATGTCAAAGCCAAACTACTCATGTCATGAGTCATCCAGGATATGAGACATCTGGTAAAGCAAAGTAAAGGGGGCATTCACATGCACACACAACATATCCCAGCTCAGGTTTCTTTCAACATTTATGTGTATTAATGCAACATCTTTGCTATGAATAATTAAAATGTTGAAGAACAATTTGAACAATATAGAGGATAAATACATATTGATTAGAAAATTCACAAACTCACTCCCATTCCCGGCGGGTGGATGGACAGGGGCCACCGAAGTCAGAAAGGTTGTCCATAGTCACTCCCTTTTCCAACCAGGCCCTTTCTGAAGTCTTATAAGTCCCATCCGTGCTGACCTTGTCTGAACACTCTTTTGGAAAATTCTACCGCAGACCAGCTGCCCACCACTGCCTCCAGTACACCAAAGAAACACCAAAACCTGTGAACACAGACAAAACTGATTACAGCATCCTGAAAGTGGGCATGTTGCTCAGGATGAAAAACTGTGTTGCATAAATTCATGTTAACATAAGGTGCTTTGCTGAAAAACTATAATACAATGCAAAGTGCATAAAGCATCTTCAGTTTCTACCTGGGTATAGTACTTTATCACTAAAGAAGGGTTTTTGCACAGGAGGAGCTCCCCTGACCTAGAAAATTGTCTGAAGCAGACATCTCTTTTGACAACCCAGCATAAAAAAAGAGAGTGTAGAATGGCCACCTCCTCCAAACTAAGAACTCAAAGACTGGAGCCTTGTTCAGCTGCAATGAAACAACATAAGGATGTATTCAGTTGCAGTTATCAATGACATTTCTGCATGTAAAAAATATGTTTTCTTTTTCTTCATGTGGTTAACAGAACATAGATCATGTTAGTCACCTACAAAATCTGAAATACTAACAATAACAATAGAGCAGTTATATTATTCAGAGTCATCATCACGTTCAAGTGGGAAAACAACAGACAAACTTTCCTTTAACCTTGATTAAAATAGTTCATGGTTTTGTGGTCTAGAAATATCTTACATTGTATATATATTATATCCAAATTATAATTACAATTGGTGGGTGATGAGAATTCAGGCAGTCATCTGTGTTTGTATTTATTTCACATCCACGTTGAGTGATGTACACAAGTGGCCTCTGGGGAAACTACCAGTTATTGCATTTTCCATCATCAACAAGTCAAATGAGAGCCATTATCAGTAGAGAAATATTTGGTAACATGGAAATGTAAGAGTGAGTTGGTACAACCCTGAATAATTACCTACTTAAAGATTATTAGTCTCTATCTAATAAAAGAAAATTAAGGTTTACACTTGGCTTAAAACTAGTCTGAGCAGGTTTTTATGTCCTTTTTGCAATAGAAAAGCAGTACAATCTTATAATGAAATAGAGCTATTTCATTATAGGAATATCTTTTTAATCTTGGGTTTCAATATTCTCTACTAACCCATTTTTCTCTCCTCCCATAGCATATACGAACATACAACTGTAGCTGTTTAACCATCATTTCAGTTGTTTATCACTAAAATGACTTTATCCACAGTGATGTAAATATGTAAAGACTTATTAGGAAAGCATACATTTCAAGTGCTTTTTAAGTGCAGCTCAAGACATTTCTCAAAGGTGTAACATACAATATGAGAAGAGGAAAAAAAATCAAGCCAGTGACAGCCAGCTGATTTTAGAAACTCATTTGTCAGTTTACTACTACAAGATTGATTTGCATCAGCACTGGACACATGGGATTTCTTTAAATTATAATATGATTAAACAGCAATGTCTTACCCTTGTGACATCTCCCCATGTAACTACTGATTATGTCTATGGTTTTATTCAATAAACATTTGCGTCATCACGGAAATCCTCAAATTCATACTCTCTTATCAGGCAACATAATCTCATATAAAATCCTTATGTGTAGGATTTGAAAAATGTGAAGAATGCCTCTAAAAGATTATAATCTATATTATATATCAGTTGATCTATCAAAAATCCCCACTGGTAAGATAAAAGCATGCTACTTATGCGTTGGTTTCAGGTTAATTAGGTGAAAATCTAAAAGCTGCTTCTTCCTTTAAAACCCAACAGTTGTTGTTGACAGAACTGTCATGCTCATACAATCCTGTTGTTGTCATTCATCCACCAGATAGTTTCTGATTTGCTCCCCTTTTCCTTGCCTTATCGCAATCTTCACTGTAAAAATCCTTGTCCTGTTCAGGAGGCACAATCAATCATTTAGCTATAATTTATTTTTGGTTCCTCTGTAATTTAAGTGCATATACTGATTCACAATTTCTTTGTTAGACCCTTTACTTTGAAATTTAGCTAATGTGCCTCCCTTTTGTCTTGATCATGTTTTAGATGTTTCTACACCTTGATTGGAGACCACCTGTGGCAAATTCAATAGATAGGACATGATTTGGAAAGGCACACACCTGTCTATATAAATATCAGAACAAAACCAAGCCATGAGGTGAAGGAGCTGCCTGCAGAGCTCAGAGACGGGATAGTGTTGAGGCACAGATCTGGAGAAGGCTACAAAAAAATCTACTACACTGAAGGTTTCCAAGAGCACAGTGGCCTCCATAATTATTAAATTCTTAAAAAAGTGTGGAACAACCAGGACTCTTCCTAGAGCTGGCCACCCTGCCAGACTGACCAATTGGGGGAGAATTGCCTTGGTAAGAGAGGTGACCAACAACCCGACGGTCACTGTGGCTGAGCTCCAGAGATCCTGTGTGGAGATGGGAGAAACTTCCAGTGCAGTGTAGTTCCAATGCCGGAAGATGTGTGGGCATACAAAGTGTTTGACTTAAACAGAGGAAGCTCAGTTTCACATCCCATTTCCTACTTTAAGTCAGTGATTTTGAACCATGAACACAGTCTCTATCTACTTTTAAACAAGTGTTTTATATTGATATAGAAAAGAAAGCAGTAAAGGTAGCAAGGAGAAAGTTTGCAATCATAGCACAGGAATCTCAAGGGATTGTTGAACAACTGAAGACTGAAATTCTACATTGTTAAATTTATCATTTAATTGGCCATCACAATTTTAATGTTTCCTAAATTGTCCATGACATTCTGTTTATGTTCAACAAAAAAACAACAACAACAAAAAACAATTGCTATCGCTGGGAAACACTAATGCTTGGTCTGAAACATTTACTGCCTTGACATGATTACTGTGAAACTACTGCTTTAAATGGATTAAAGTGTTACAATGTGAGATGGAAACCTCTGAACTAAAAAAAAAACAAAACAAAAAAAAACATTACTGAAATGTTGATACAGTAACAAAATGGGAATCTTTTGTCTGAGGTGCATTCTGACAAAACCAGAAAACAAACCTCCTTTATAGACAACATACACAAATTAATAATGGTAAGTGAATTTAAAATACTGTTAAAATGCCTATTTGGAAAATCAACAAAAAAATCTTCAATTTTAGATGCATCAGGAATTCCTTTATGCAGCTTTAACTTATATGTCTTCACTCTACAAAGCTGTGTAAAATGAAACCTCACATATCAGCCTGCATTCTTTTAACGTATTGAGGTTAATCCACACCTTGCAAGGTTAACAGCTCAAAAACACGAGAGTCTAGTTACACTTGTGCCTTCAGGTATTTAAAACCTTTAACCAGCAACCTGACCTCATGGCAGAAGTCACTACACTGAAGTTCAAGTTCATGACCAAACTCTGGTCTGTATGTAAACAGGCTATAAAAGAGAGGGAGGTTATTGCTCTGACTATTAATTATTTTATTATTATGCATAGCCTTACAAAGAGGAAACTCAATGGAGGAATTACACTGTTTTTCTTGAGAGAATTTAGGTTTCATTTTAAAGTTTAATGGAGGAAAGACACCTGCTGCTTCAACTGCACCTCACATCCAACCCTCCCTCCTCTATATCGCCTTGCAGGATATAATGCTGTCCCTTCGTACATTCGATTTAAGGTCCAGTAAACAAATTTACTAGCTTTTCTGAGGCAAGCAGCAGTTGCATATTTAGTGTTTGTATCCAGTGTTGCATTCCTAAACATCCAACAAATCTTAACAGTTACTACCAGTCTTATTTACATTTCAAATACCAATGTACTGTCACTAAAACCACTGATGGCTTTGATGAGAAAAAAGTATATCAGTGTGACTTGCTGACATCACACAGTTTGCTTGTTGCTGAAGATATACTCCTCCACTGCAAACACACACTGGTGCTGGTGTTTGAACATTAAGGGTCACACACATGCTGCAGCTACACCTTGAAATGAAGATGAAAACTATTTGAAATACTGCAACACTGTCATGTTACTGTATCTGACAGATCCTTTAGGGATTATCAACATCTGTGTGTAGCCCCTGGTTAATGATGAATTATACCGCTGATGCAATCAGGTTGTTATTGATAGCATCAGTAACTTCACACTAAGTGGCTTGTAAAGGGAATTGGGCACAGATGATAGGTTGGGTCCTGATGTTCACAGAAGATATTTCCCTGTAGCTGTCAAAGACAGAATACCTGTTTGACGTCAGTGACTGGGGTGTGGCTGGCATGCCTGTCAGCTTTAACACATAAGGACTGCATATTGGTGACACACCATATAGTCACAGATATAGCTTAAGAACTCATTGGGCCTCATTCACCAACCATTCTTAAGAAGAAATTTCTTCCTAAAACCCACTTACGCACTTTTTACGAAGATTCTGACATTCACCAATGTTTTCTTATTTGGGATTTGTTCTTAGTTAAGAACAGAATCTATGCACACTCAAGAGTACTCTTGCGCACATTTGAATGCTGACATGTTTGAGCAAAAATAAGTGGTTATTGCATTTTCTTCTGTTCTAGTTATATAATATTATATTTAAATTACAATAATATTTTTGTAATTTATAATATTAAAAAAAAAAAACTTGTTATTTCTACAAAGCATTATGGTCTTTTAAAATAAATGAACGCTACATTAACACATAACCGCTCGTTTGTGGCTCACTTCCTGCAGCAGTACCTCCACTTCAGAACTACTAAAATTCCTTTTGCGTTTTGATTCCGGTGCTCCGTCTTTAGATTTTCGTTTTGGCATTTCCTCAACTTTCCCTTACGGTATCTCTTCGTGAACTGAAGAATAAATTGATGAACGAGGCCCATTGTCCTTAGTGCATTAGATAAGAACAAAATCCAGACTTTTTACCTCATAATGCTAATGTTGTAGCATGCATGGTGTTTGCTCTGTATTTCATATAGCAGCGCAGTTTATCTTTAATCTACTGTAAGCACAAAGACCAAAAAAGCCTACTCTGTTGATCTATATCATACTGGGAAAGAACTGCCCATAATGTATCGTACAACTCCCAAATTAGAGCTATGTCTTGCACAATTACCTTGCATCCTTGCATCTAGACAGAGCCAGAGCCAGTTTATAAATAATTCAACTGGTATTTTTTCTCCTGACTTTGGGTTCTTATTACTATTACTATATAAATTTGTCAGTAATCATTGATTTAACCATAGCATTTTAATATCTCTGGGCATGTTAGGCCATTAATACAAATCAAGGAGCAGAACTGCTTTATGGTAATACTGGCTTTATGCATCAGTGTGATGATGCAGCTTTATTTGTCTGGTGTTTAATTCTCTGGATCAGCCAAAAACATGCCCATTCATATACAGTTTCTCAACTGATTTTCCAGAAACTTTATCAGAATAGAAAAACCATAATCTTATCACCCGCTCCTGGTTTTTAATCACCAAAGCAGAAATGGTTAATATAGGGGACTCATGTCACTGATTTACATACATACAGAAAATTGTAATGTGAGCTATAGTCCATGTCTGAGTATCAAAACCATAAAAAATGCACAAACCACTTTAGGTCACATGTAACTCCATGAGAAAAATCTGTACTGCTATCAAAAAAAAGGCACACTTTGAATAAAAAATAAATAGTAAATAATGGCTTAATTAAAGGTTAAAAAATATTTAGAAATGCATTATTAAGCAATAATAAAGAACACACATATTTTGTAAAAAAATAAATAAATAAACAAATCAAGTGCTAGATCGAACATAAGAAAAAAAAATCTGAATATTAAAGTCCCCAGATTGAAAGGTCACAAAAAAAGAAATGTTTATCATCACCATTGTTGACTGTATTATTCCCCATGACAAATTAAATAGCAAATATTCATAAAGCCATTAGATATAACTGGTATAATTTAGCTTTTTAAAAAGTGGTACTGAAAAATCTCTTCCCTGGAATACCACAATAAATCCACCAAATAAATGCAGCTAACCACTATTGTTATCAACAGGGGACTTTTTAACAAGGTTTATGATGTTCATGCTAATGTTTCACCTGCTGACACACACACACACACACATACACATGAAAATTAATATCTGAAAGCCAACAACATTCTTTAAAAAGTGTTATGGTATTGAACCCAGACAGCTCACTGACAGATGGATGAGTTTCAGCTACTTGCTAATCCAACCCTGAAGTCTAGGGTACTACTGTCTGCTTGCCATAAAGTTTACATTTCCTGACCACCTGCATCTGGTTTTGAGCCGGCAGGTCAAGCTGTCAGGTAAACACTAACAGGGCCTGGACAAGCTAAGTTTCAGTCAATCTGGATGTTTATTTATTTATTTATTTTTAGTTTATTTCCAATACTTCATAACACCACTTCACTAAACACTGCAATGTCTATAAACACAAAAAACATGCTAGACCATATTTTTGTACGTAATACATTATATTTGTTTTAACACGTAATTTAATCTGTTTGGATTGTATTTAACATGAAATCATATTTGTACAGAATTACCATCAACTCATTTGCTTTATTTCCCCATAAGATGGTTATTATGGTTAAATATTAATCTAACCAATATACATCTGCTAGTCATCACATATTAGTCCATATATGCAGTATACACAGATGTGTAAACATAAACAAAAAATTCAAAAATGCTTTTCAAATATTTCATTTCTATTAACATGTAAGAACAGGTCAGTTTCTCAATTAGAAAAAGAAAAGTCTCAGTTTTCTGTTGTGATTTCTGTCTTAAGGAAAGCTCTCTGTAAGTGATAAGGAAACAGGAGGCGCTTTGGTTACACACTTACAAATGAAAAACACTGGAAAGGCCAATGAGTGCACTCAATGACCCTTTAACTTCGTAGTATATACATGGTAAATAAGTAATGCTACCACACATCAGCACAGGGTTAAACAGAGGAAATCTCTCAATAGAAAATCATGTCAGGTGCAAATATGAAACCCAAAATGCCTTGAGAACAAGAAAACTGTGGGTTAGTCAGAGAAATGTGAACTCCAGTAGACTTAAAGCTGCCAGGTTGGGTAACATCAGCCTGACCTAAGCTTGCTGAGAAATTATTCAAGGAATTCTTTTCCTGTGACATTTAACATTTTGCTATCTCGCGTCTTTGAGGAGCCAGTGACGAAAATCCCTTTAGTGTTTTGCCATGAATGTCATCAGCAATGGTACAACGGAAAAAAAAATAGGTTATTTCAACCTTGTAACCAGGGCACTTGATGACAGAGAGCTAAAAACATGTAAGCAGCATTCAAGAGCGCTGAGTATATGTAGCTGCTGATATAGACTCCTGTGTTTGACAAAATATATCTTCAGCTTACACTGAGTCTTGTAGTAAATGATTAACGAGGTCTTGACAGGGGCTAATCATGCGGTCGACCACCTCCACTTTAATTTGGAAAGAGGCCACTCGTGAACTTTGATGTTATACAGTGTAAACGAATGGCAACGATATGACATTTTCCGCTCCTCTATCAGAGTGACGCGAAACTGAAACCTTAAATTAAATCTCACGTACCTTGAAAACGGGTCTCCAGCAGAAATAAATATCCACAGTTAACTTTAATCAATCCAGTCATTTTCTTTAAACTACAGCATATCAGCTGAGCACAGCCACCAGCGTCTGACTGACCCGGAGAGAGCTCTGAAAGCGTTAAATTGCATAACAACGCCTAAGTTAATAACGTGCTGTTATTAATCGCCGGTGAGCTGTCTGCGGCTTTGGCAGTCCCAATTTATCAACAACACACGACCAAATTTCCCATTCGTGGTCTTTGTGGGCTGTGTCCGTCTATTTTCCAGGCACTGTACTCCACATCCTCCGCTGGCAGTGGCTTGTAAACAGGACTGAGTGGCTGAGAACAGAGAAAGTAGGTCAGCTGGTAGCTCAATACTCGGCTAACGACGGCAGCAGTATAAGCAGTCGCCTGTGCAACACAACCGAAAGAAACCTTTACTGGCCGGGAGGAGGGAGCCGATTGTAATCTTTAACACGTGCTTAATGCATAATAGCACCACACTAAAAGCCATTTAGAGTACTGTAATGAACAACTGCCTATATGTGTAATATGGATTTGCAACGTAGTTTACACAGGGTGTGAAATTGTGAATGGTACGGTCTGAAGTGAAGCCTAATACCACTTGGCCATGGAAGCATGACAAGTAGCCCTTAATCTATCAGGCAGGTCCACATTTATCTTTGAAGAATAGCCTGTTTATTTCTTGATTTATTTTTATGACAAACCTGAATGTGATCTTAGTTATTTGTTAAATATGCAACCCCAGACTTCTTAGCAGCTTCTTAGCAAAACATTTTCACACTTGTTAATACTGGTAGGCCATTTTAAATCTGTGTTATGTCTCTTCATTGTTCATAAACAACTGAGCGAACCTCATTGGAATTATATTAGAACATATCCATCTATCTATCTCATCTGCCGGCCACTAAGTAGCTCCACTGTAGCAGTTGGAGTTCAGGCCTTACTCAAGGGCAGCAGGGTGTTAATGAGGAGGGGCTACCAAACTTGATTGCATTGAATACCTTTAATGCGTCTTTGAAGAGAAAATAAACATTGGGTTGTATCACCTAGTTCAGTGGTTCCCAACCCTTGGGCTGCAAAATGAAATGAGCTTTAAAAACATTACAAATTCTTTAAAATCGCCTTTATGTTTCTGTTGATTAAAGTTTAATGTTGTTTTGAGTTGTTTTGATAAGATACTAGTATCAGAATCGCTTAAGATACTGTCAAGAATACTGTATCGGCGAGTTCACAAGTCCACCACCAATCATCAATCTGATCCCACGTAATTTATTAATAAACTTTATAGTTTCATACCCAGATAAAACAGCAATTCTTCTTCGCCACTCTTTCCAACAAATAGTATAACATTAATTATTAGCAAAACATCAGCAATATGTTACACTAGAAAGTCAAACCAGTAAGAACACAACGTGTTAAGTATGAAAGGCTTTAATTTTGAGGAGTAGCACATGTGTTAGAACTAGTGTTGGAACTGTCCTAGAATTTCTTTTTTTTATGATTGATATTGATATGGCATTCATGTATCTGTTCATGTTCAAGGGTTTAACCTGAGCCATGCCATACAACAAAGACAGCAATCATATCACATCCATTCAGGGTTAGGAGAGTACAGCTGTGGTATCGGATCAGTACTCAGTATGGGCCGATACACAAGTTCAGGTATCAGAATCGGGAAGGAAAAAAGTGGTGCTGGAACATCTCTACTGTATTTAATTGCTTTTGCCAATTCTTCCCCTTTTTAGTAAATAGTTTACATTGAAACAAGACAAGGAGTCTACAGCTCTGTGAGGCTACATATTGGTGCTTTGAGCTAAATGCTGACATGCTCACAATGACAATGCTAACATGCTGATGTTTAGGAGGTATTATGCTCAACATGTTCACCATCAAATGTTAGCATGTAACATGCTAACATTTAGTTAATTAGCATGAAACCCAAAGTACAGCTGAGGCTGATGGGAATGTCATTAAATTTGTAGAAATTTGTTCATAAACCAAAGCACGGGCCAAATAAAAATTTGGCCTGATGACACTTGATGAAAAGATAAGTTAGAATAATTTATACTGCGGGAGGGATGAATGTCTGCATCAAATTTCATTGTTGAAATATTTCAGTCTGGACCAAAGTGGTGGATGACAGTGCCATCCATAAAGCCACAGCTAACAAGCACATGTGGAGAGTGACATACAGTATAACACTGGTCCAAAGTCTGTTTCAAACCAAAAATATCACTAAACTGTACATGGTATAACTCTTATGACACTGATCCATCAGGACACCAGCTGCTAAGCTGTTTGTAACTCGTGATAATCACTAAAGGATTTTTCCCTCTGGCCTGTATTGACTTAGTTATATCTAACAAATTTTGACAAGGAATGTGTACTTCAGTTATAGATTTTGATATTTTAGACAAAGCCTTAGTGCTGAGTGTCACAACTCAGTTTGTGGCTCTTATTTTGATGCTGCATCTCACAATTTCCTTTTCTTTCAATCCTGGACATTCAGGTTGCAAAGTAGAGTTTCCCTAATAGATGGTCTTGTGATAAAGGCCACTTGTCATATGAGTGAAGAGTACAGACAAAAGAGCACATGAGAACCGACTGCTTTGACAGGTCAGTCTGCAACATCAGAAAACCTTTAGTGCATGTTCTCAGTTAGACAAATGGAGACTCTCATGATGGAGATGGTGAGCAATGGCCTGCGAGTACCAACGGCCTGTTTGAACATTTTTCGCAATCAATAAAGTTGTCAAAGTTGTAAGATGTAATATAAAGAAATATGAAATACTGTGGCTACAGTACAATCTGAGCTGCACAAAATTCTTTATTTTGTGTTCTACATTTTTTATTGCCATATTCTTAAAATAGACAGATTTTATCATTAAGATAGCAACTATCAAACTAACAAAAGAAAATTTGTTGCAAATCAGACAGACACCAGTCTGTGGACATGTGATTTGAAGTCAAGTCAAAGCAAACCAAATGGCTGCCTCTGGCTCTGCCAGTCCTCCTTATTCAATGTTTTATGATTAAAATTACTCTCCAAGAGACCATGAGCTTGAGACACACAGCTGAGACAATGATAGATATACAGACCACTTGTCTCAATGGCCATCTTCATGTAATGAGTCACACTTTCCCACAGCCGATTCAGACTGCAGCTGTTGCAGAAGTCCAGATTTTGACGACTGATCTGGCTTACGATATTGTACCATTATGATATAATTTTAACCATCTTGTGAGAAATGGTGTCACAGAAGCACAGCCAGTCTCTCTGGTCCTCCAGTGACTTATACCACACAAACTAAATGACCACATCTTTGTGCTCAATTGAGTGGTAAATCTTTTGTACTGAGATGATAACATTTAAAAACTGTGACTGCAGGTACAGTGGCATCTCTTGCACACAGTCATTAACACTTAACATGTGCTTTGTATTTAGATATGTGTTTATCATGAAAGCGATGGCTAATCAATCAAATTGTCTGCTGAGCGTCTAACAAAGCAGCCACAATATGCTTCTTATAGAAAGGTAAAAGCAGAGATTCATCATATTGGAGTTTATGAACTAAATAACAGTAAATCACATAGGACATAAAATCCTTGTTCTGCACCTCTGTATTGGTTGAAACTTTCAAACATGTTACATTTCAGACAGACTCAACACAGTGAGGCCACCAGGCACCACAGAGGCCCCCAACTACACTGGCCAAATTCAATTCCCCACGTTGGCCCTTTCTGTGTGGAGCTCCCACTGTGTATCACACTGGTGTTCCAGTTTCTGTCATGTCTGCAAGACATGAAAGTCAGGTGGATGACAGACACTGAGTTAGTAGGTAGGGCTGGGCAAAACCAAATGGCAATAATTTTCTTTTCAGTAACTATGGTAACTTATAGGTGATAGCTGATAAAATTAACACTACATATAACCATCAGGAACAATAAATTATTGTTACTGTACCCTCCAAAATGAGGAAATTGCTGGTAAAAGTAATCCAATCAAATCAACTATACGGTAATTGTTTGGCTATTATAAAAGTGATTCAACTCAGAATGAGACACTATGCGAAATATGCTGTCAACCAGAGTAAACTAGTATTAAATTAGTACTGATGCACGTGTCATTATGTCTGCAACTGCGTGTTTCTATTAACGCTTTTTCTACCATCAGCAGCAACCATGGGGGTCAACCAAAGCAAGTCATTTGCATCCTAGTTTTTGGCCTCATTTTAAAGCCAAGCTTTCAGAGTTAAATGTTGATATAAATAATAGTGATCTTTTATGTTTCAATCAAGAATGATCACTTAAAAAGGTTTTGTGTAGCAGAGTTTTCAGTTTTGTATGGGGTACTCTACTATATCACTACCAACATTTATTCAGTCTGCACAGCTGAAGAAATTAAAACTACCACTGATTTTTCTTTATTTACATTAATAAATACAAGCAAATTTGTATTTTTTGTAATGTAAATCCATGTTTACTTTGCACGGTTAAAATGTTTTCATTTAGCTAGATCTATTAAATTAAATGGGGGCTTTTAAGTGTGGAGTTTGCATGAATGGGTGGATATTATAATGGACCTTAATGGTTTCTTGAGGCTTCAGTAATCAGAAAGTGTCAGAAAAAATGTCAACACTACAGCCCATTCCCTTGCAGTTTGATAACTATAAAGAGATATCTAAAAAAAAAAGCTATAACAAGAACAATCCATAACTCACACTAAAATTCATTTTACTGTGCAATAGCAAAGTGATCTTATATGAACACAACAGTGAGAACAAAAACAGCATGAGGGCACATGTAATGTACATTTTAATGTATGTATAGTTTAATCTACTAAATAAGAAATAAACTTTCTATTCAATAAGAAAGTATAAATGTTTTCAACCTCTGTACCATCATTTGAACACAGCTTTGATCATAAAGATACATAAAGTATGAAGTGAGATAACAAGGTCTGTCTTGGTTTATATTGCTATCAGATCTCGAAAACCACAAGCCAACATTGAGGAACTGTGGTTTACAAGAGCTTGAAAAGTAATCAGTTCTATTTATACATAACATTTGATACAGATGGGTGCAATAGACTGTGTGTCACATAAATGAAAAAAGACAAAAAAAAAAAAACATAGATGAATAAGTGATGCAGGAGTTGAAAACTCCTGAAACAGCGTATAATTAGGCCACAGAGAGACATTGTGGCTCCACATGGAGATGAGAGGTAACTGTCTAAAAACTGACCTTCAACACA